GTGGGTGGTCAAATCTGGTGTATTGGTTGGCACAAGTACACTCTAGGCGAGCGGGGGAAAACTTGTCTACCAAGAAGTGACTATCCTACAGTGCTAAAACTACGTCCCTTTTATACCCTCTGGCTGCACAGCCCCAGTTCTGTAGGAATCGGGTCGAGTGCGGTCCCCCGGAGGAGCTGGACGCTCGAAATAGGTGTAGGATGAAGTGTATGACCAAATTTAGGTCGGAAAAGTCGATGCCCCGAGTGCTGCAAGTGCGTCCCCAAGTGCAGCAAGGGTGTCCCCAAGCGCAGCTCGGGTCTACAGTTGAAGAGAGGGCTCGAATATGCAATGCGAGGTCCGAAAATGGGTTGAATGCCCGTGAGGACCGCACGAGGTGTCAAATTTTGGGGTGGATATCGAACGTATCCTGGATTCTGGGGTGGGTTTACAGTTGTGCCCTGGATATGGGCCCAGGCTGTGGCAATATCCCGTAGAAACGAGGGTGGAGGCCACGAGTGGCGACGCGTAAGGGCGAGAGCATGGGTGCGTGTTATATCCGTGCAGCTTCCGAGCTATCCCGAGCTATTTCGAGCTTTTCCAAAGTTCCCTCGTCCCGGCTTGACAGCCAGACAGTCGCACACCCTGCTGAGTGTGGTGCTTGCAAGAACAAGCCAACCCCGGGACTTCCGGTCCTGCCCGGGTTTTTGGAACCTTCCGGTTTCGGACCTCATCGGGGCCTGTTGATCCTTCTTCGGCTCAGGATATAACAGTGCAGATGGGTGCCGAAGATGAAAGCGCAGGCGCGGATGAGTCGTGCTGTGTAGGGGGCCCGTCGTCGTCGAGTGGTGCCTCCGTCGGGTGTGGATACAGTCGCAGTTGTGGTGAGGGAAGCAGCTGCAGACGAGCCGCAGTTGGGGAAGTTTCCATATGCGGATTCTTGATACTTCCAAATTGGGCGATTGGTCTTGTCCTGTGGATGCAGTGGCACGAGGGCACACGCAACGCGTGTACAGCCCTCACAATGGGTCCTGTTTAATTGGAGTGGTGAGCGCTCGTCCACTACCCGATGCTGACACCTTAGGTACGGTCATGCGCTCACCGCGGCGCGTTGACTCTGCCGCCGGGTGTTCCCCGAGCTGATCGCAACTTTGTGACGCGCTCGACGATGTCTTCTGGGGTGTACTCAGCCCAGATGATGATTTATTGGATTTCGACTTACCTCCGTGCATCCTGACCGAGCTCCCCCAGCTCGGCACTGGTCCCACTTCATACGGCTGTCCCTCGCTGTTCCAGGCAATTCCTTGGTCCCGTATGTTGGATGTGCCGTCGCGTTTGAGGGCCTCCAGTCGATATCTCTGTAAAATTATTCTGTCATATAATTCATGAGTCTTTTTCACACCTACTCCCGCATCAACACTAGTTAGCTAGTTGCTTCCTCGATAATTTGCGTGAGTCGGCCCAAAGATTGCGCATGGCTCACATTTGACGCTACGGATGGTGCCCTTCGGCGTCGCTCCTCGCGAGGCTTTTTGGGCTTCTTTGCTGTCGTTGTGCGATGCTCTGAATCTAATACAGCCTGTTCAGCTTGATCTGCGGCGGCAATTGCCTCTGCTGCATTATGATCTTCTGCACTGGCTATCTCTCACGCCGCAACTTCCGCTGCGTACTCCCCATCCTCACCTACACACATGTTGCGCAGTCGGTGCTCGCTTCATTGTAGCGCAGCACGATGGCGTCTGAATTGCTCAGACGTCTCGTTGTTGCCTCTCTCTCGGGCTAATGCCGCTGTGGCTGCCTGAATATTGCTGTCGTCCCACCAATTCGGGCACGGGTTACTCCCTGCATCTGATACTGACTGCACTCCCACTAGGCTTCGTGCAGTGGCTAGACGCAAATCTGCTGATTCAATGGAATCTGCGTGGTTGCGTCTCTTCTTCTCGGTGCGACGAGCTTGTCATGCTTGACTTGTCAAACTGGCCATCTCCGAGTCACTTGCGAGTTTGCGAACAACTTCAGGATACGGCGATGAGCTAGCCATGTCCTCCTGATTGGAGGACAATGGCGGACGTTCATTCACGCGTTGGCTATTCACTGAAGACGTTCGGGCAGATTCCTGTGCTCACGACACAGCACGAGACGAGCTCCTCATTACCGGGTGCTCACTCGGCTGCGCTGACCTCGTCTTGCACTTGCGAGGAGGAATATCCTCCTCGTCGGTCACATCCTCAACTGTGGGGTGCAGGTCTTTCTGACTCTTATCAGCGCGATCTCGCGTCGATGTACGGCTGCTGCAAGATGCAGTATCCGTTCTTACTTCGGGGGTTCTACTCCCGACTGATATTACGCTGGTACTCCCAGTTGGGAGCACTCGGCGTCCAGATTGTCCGTCATTGACAGACAATGTGAGTTCTGGCAGCGGGGATGATCCCGTTGCCACGTTGTCAGAGGTTCTGTGAGAATCTCTGCGGCTGCCACTTGGCGCTGCCATACTGATCTGCTTAGATCTTGGTGGATCAGCACCTGATAGGTGACAATTGTCGTCTGGAAGTTGCTCCCCAGTCGCACTATCATTGCGAAGCGCTTTGCGCTTCTTGCTAGATTTCTTTCCAGGTTTTGCCATAGGTAAACTGGAAATAGCTGGGTTTTTGGAACTTGAATTGTCCGTAAGACAATGTATCTTACACCTTTAGTGTAAGGTTCAAAAAAGTGTAAGAGCCTGTTATCTCTTAACTTAGGTGAACACCGAGAACCTGCACAACATATATTGTGTAGATACTTTTAGTGTAAATTCAGAGGTAGAAAGGTAAGGGCCAAGGCCATCAGGTGACCTGATGGCTTCTTTTATACGCTGGGCGGCGGCTGCCGTCCATAACAAGAAATTACACAACCAAATACCATATATATTAGCTAAGTATCTAAGTATCCCGATTGGGATACAGACTCCTTACAGCTGGTCTGCAGCTGCTTCCCTCACCACGACCGTGACTGTATCCACACCCAACGACGACAGCCCCCTATGCAGCATGACTCATCCGCACCCGTGCTCTCATCTTCGGCACCCATCTGCACCTGCACTCTCACCCTCACATGCTGCCACTCGTGGCCTCCACCCTCGTTTCTACAAGATATCCCCACAGCCCAGGCCTGTATCCAGGGTACAACTATAAAACCACCTCAGAATCCAGGACATGACCAATATTCACCCCAAAAATCAACACCTCGCGCGGTCCCCATGGGCATTGAGCCCACTTTCAGACCTTGCATTGCATATTCGAGTGTTCTGTTCATTCGTTGACCTGAGCTGCACTTGGGGACGTGCTTGCAGTGCTTTGGGCAACCACTTTTATGACCTAAATTTGGTCATACACTTCATCCTACACCTATTTTGAGCGTCCAGCTCCTCCGGGGGACCGCACTCGACCCGATTCCTACAGAACTGGGGCTGTGCAGCCAGAGGGTATAAAAGGGACGTAGTTTTAGCACTGTAGGATAGTCACTTCTCGGTAGAAGTTTCCCCCCACTCATGGATTTGAGGCCCTCCAGGTCGATATGTAGGCAGGAAAGAGCACCTGCAAGGATCGGCTCCTCTGGACATTTGGTTGCAATAGTGTATCCATTGGAATAAGTCTCCCATGGCGTCATGGTGGTTTTGTCAGGTCATATGGCCATATGGGACAGTTGAGGAGTATGGTGATACACTGTGCTGCATCCCTATGAACGGGTCTGAGGCTGAACGGCCTTGTTAGATGGTCCATCACAATTCCATTTCTGGCAAGCAGGAAGCCCAATCGGGATATTCCTCGCCTTGAAGTTGTGTCATGCTGACAGATCCATTGTGACATATGTAGGGTATGTAGCACCCTCACAATGGTCGAAGCCACAAGTCAAAGGTGTGGAGTGGTGAAGGCCGAAATGAGTAAAAATGTTTAAGTAAATAAAGCTAAAATGGGAAACATTCAGTAATCCTTCATTGCATGAAAACCCGGTTGATTGACTTCTGGAAGTTCAGAAGCCAGAAACTTCAGAAAGTCTTGGAAGACTTTGGAAGCTTGGAGAATGTATGGATATAACAACAACACAGAATTAGAGAGGCAAGATGACAGCCATACAGCCACCACTTCAGATCATGTCTAGACATGCCAAGGCTGGATCACACCTGAACCAGTTGAATGATATCCCAATCATACCATAAACCAGAAACATGCGAGCCTTTAAAGTTGCACTCAAGACCCTAGAAACCCAAAAGTAAGTTGAGATTCGAACCAGTTGAGAGGAACATCAAAAAGGTTGAACACAGCATTCACTAGCTATAAGTGAACCAAAAAAATAAAAAATGACTGATGGCCAAAGGCAGTACAAAGGCAATATGAGGCTATGCACAGACAAACTCTAAAAGGTAAAAAATGGGCAGATGTTGAATTGTCAAGATGTAAGTGAACAAATCAATTCCATAAAGGCGGAGGGAAAAAATCCTCAGGTAGGTGCAAAAAGATGACAAAGATGAGTCTAAAAATAAATTTCTAGGACTCATAACCTTGAGTCTGACCTGGACAGTGTGACCTATAACTGGACCTAGCAATGCCTGTGTATGCATATCAACTACTTTGTCTCTGCATACCAGTCAGCACTTGCTGCTGAATGTCCTGTGTGATAAGGATATATTACAGAGGTGAGTGCTACTCACCTCTTCATCCTAGGTCAGGAACACTGAGGCCTGGAGCCAACTGATACATACTGCTCTCCTCAACTTCTCACCTCTGACAGAATATTTCAACAAACACATCTGTATCTTTCTGTAAAGGGGGGGGGGATTAGAAGGATGCAAGACAGCATGATGAACACTGGCCTTCTACTCACAGATGCTGTGTGATGGAGAAACATGAGAACCCTTATGCACAGATCATCTGGCTCAAATACACATAACTTGACATAAAATTTGGACAGAAACAATGAGGTTTAATATAAGCCATTTGGCTTGGAAGTGAGATAGCAACACAGGAAACAAAAGTAAAAAACATTGCTCCCCGTGAGGGTCGAACTCACGACCTTCAGATGAAGTAATCTTATGATTACGCACACAGATATGAGACTGACGCTCTAACCAACTGAGCCAGGGAAGCGTTTCTGATGGGGCTGGCAGACGGTCAAAGGCTTACCCAATATTATCTTCTGTCCGATGAGATGTCCACTGTAATTTTTGGAAGTATTAGATGTAAGGGATAGGGGGGATATGATCAATAGTTTCCTGGTGGGCCCAGAGTTGTAGCTGGAGGATGGTTTTTACCCAATAATAGCTCTCCGAGATTTCCAAAGTTTTCTGGCTTCCAAATTTTCAGAAGCCAATTGATCAGGTTTTTATGCAGTGAATTACTGAGCGTTTCCTGTTTTAACTTTATTTATTTAATCGCTTTTACTCATGTCGGCCTTCACCGCTCCGCACCTATGCCTTACAGCTTCAACCATATCTGATTTCTTATTTAGGATATTGAAATGGCCGTACGTAATTATGACTTAGTATAAATAGTTCACAAGTTTGTATGGTACTTCAGTTTGATTATTAATGTTCTTGACTACTCGTCTTGCTTCTGAATTTGGAAGTGTCAAGAATCCAGATATGGAAACATCCCCAAGTGCAGCTTGCCTGCAGCTGGTTCCCTCACTGCAACTGCGACCGTCTCCACACCCGATAGAGTCGCCACCCGATGATGCACAGTCCCCCACACAGCACAACTCATCCATGCCGCGCTCTCATCTTCAGCACGACCCATCCACACCTGTGCTCTCGCCCTCACGCATCACCACTCATGGCCTCCACCCTTGTTTCTATGGGATATCCCCACAGCCCAGGCCCGTATCCAGGGTACAACTATAAAACCACCCCAGAATCCAAGATATATATGACTGATATTCACCCCAAAATTTGACACCTCGCACAGTCCTCACAGGCATTGAGCCCACTTTCGGACCTTGCATTGCATATTTGAGCATTCTGTTCATTTGTTGACCTGAGCTGCACTTGGGGACGTGCTTGCAGTACATTTCCAACCTCAATTTGGTCTTACACCTTATCCTACACCTATCTCTAGCATCAAGCTCCTCTGGGGGACCGCACTCGACCCAATTCCTACGGGACTGGGGCTGTGCAGCTGAGGGGTATAAAAGGGATGTAGTTTTAGCACTGTAGGGTAGTCACTTTTGGGTACAAGTTCTTCCCTGCTCGTCTAGAGTGTACTTGTGCCAACCAATACACCAGATTTGACTGTCCACTTTCCTTGCAGCTTCTCTTCAAAGTCTTGCGCCACACTCACCCTCGTACCTTTCACTGCAGTACATCTCCAGCACAGGCCTCACAGTCTCAGCATCGGAAACTCGGTCGCTTGCCTCCTTCATTGGGGAAAGGTATCGTCCGCAATTGGGGCATATATCACCAAGACACACACACACACTTTCAGTGCGCTCCATGCGGGGTCCATGTTATATCCATACATCCTGAACTCCCGATGTGTTCCGTCACTCCCGGGATGTTCCATACTTTTGGGAAGTTCCGGTGTCCGGATCTTCTTTAACTTCCTTATTTTATCGCACTCAACTCGAGCAGACTTCACTGCTCCGCTGTGAGGGTGCTACGCACCCTACATGTGTCACGACGGACTTACCGACACCACGCGACTTCAGGACGAAGGAATATCCAGATTGGGCTTCCTGCTTACCGGAAATGGACAACGTCCGACCAGGCCATTCAACCCTTCAACCATTCTTAGGGCACCATGCGACTGTTCACTGGGGCCGAACGACTGTCCTCATGGGCCATACGTCCTGACGAAAGCACCATGACACCACGGGAGACTTGTTCCGACGGGATTGCAACGTTCACCGAACGTCCACAAGGGACGCTCTCTGCGGGGTCCTTTTCTTGCACACACACCGACCAGGAGAGCATCGAATCCATGTCCAGGATGGCTCCCCCGGTCACCCACGCTTCCCACGTCTCTAGGAAACCCCGTGAACTCGCTGAAAGGCGGTTCGTCCCAGAAGGCCGTTCGCCAACTCACCTTCCGTTACCCACCTGAAACCATTGGACCCTGTTTCAGCCCCTCCTCGTCACATAACGCACGACCCAAAGGAGGTAGGGGGCAAGGTATAAAAGGGAAACGGGAACGGACCTAGTAGTCAGTCGTTGAGACCCGGACATTGGTTCCCCCGCACTGTTCCACAGTGTACTTTAGTCCACACCCAATAACAACCACTCACTTGCTCCACAGCACTTTACTTCTAACCCCTTTGCAGCTTAAGTCCTTAAGCTCGCGCTTTATACCCTTCTCAAAGCGACCCTATCCTCCTTCGCGGGCTCACGCTCTGTTGAAAGTTGATAGCTAGCCTTGGACCCATTGGCAAATCGTCGTCCCAGCTGAACGTTTTACGCCTCGACACGTTATCGTCCCCGCCAAACGAACCCAAGGAACGGTGTCGAAGCCTTCCATAGGAGATTGCACTTGCGTAATCCACACAACCTCCCGCTCGATCATTAGGGGGAAAAGCGAGAGAGGAAGCAAAGCGGAGACTTCGTACTGAAGAGCACCAGTACTCCAACCAGATAAAGGAAGGTTACAGGCCCTCAACCGGTTTATTCACACACACACACTCTCTCTACGACCATCGTCCCGTTGGGACGACCAACCCTCATTTATCACCACCAACCCAAAGGGCGATCCAATAAACCTTGCAATCCCCTAAAAATCATACTCAGAATCCCCTAGAGGACGAACAAGCTGTTGCGAGTGTAAACCAATTCACACACCAGCACCGCAGTCCCAATCACACCGCATACCTCACTTGCGGCTTCCTCCGTTTCTGATTACCTTATATAGAAATGGATTTTGCGGCCATACGTAATTATGACTTAGTATAAATATTCCATATGCCTGTATGTAACTTCAGTTTGATTATTAACGTTCTTGACTACTCGTCTTGTCCTGAACTCTTCCTTAACTTCCATCCTCCAGAGTTCCAACTTTCATCGGAACGACTTCTACTCTCGCCAGTCCAGGTAGTATGCACACCCTTACCTTCCTGTGGTGTTTGCTACTGATCCGAAACTTCCGCTCCACCATCCGATCTCCGGCACCGGAACCTTCTGATCAACGGATCATTCCTCCAACTTCGGGATTTAACAGTCCACTTCCACACAACATCGACCAGCGTGCCATATGAGTCTCCGCTCTAGATTGGTATTACACCTTGTAACACCCCCTAGAGGACAAATGCAGCTACCCTCGGGAAGCAATTTCCTACACACGGTAGCGCCACGGTCCTTATCACAGTGCCTCCCGACCCCAGCTTCTCTCTGAACAAGATTCCCTTGGCACAGCTCTGGTGTAACAGTAAACACACTCCATAGCGGTATCACCTCAGTGTTTGACATGGAGAGGACAGTTTGATCCTTCGCTGAGCCTTTTTCTGCTAATCCTTCAGGGATATCTGAGGCACAGTTCAATGGTGTAGCTGGTAACACATCCTGTGGTCTGGATGTTGCACAATCACTTTTAGCAGGATATCTGGAGTTCAATTCTCTGTTGAGCTATTCTTCCGATCCTATCTGCTTCTCGGAGTTGTGAAGAATCATGGTTCAGTGGCTTAGCTGGTATCACTTCCCTGTTTTAGTGCTCTTGCACAAGTGCCTCTGCAGAAAGTCCAAAGTTTGATCCTTTGTTGAGCCATTTGTGAGCAATTCAAGACTCTTTCATAGGAAGGATCACCAGAATGAAGTCTGAAGTGGGCATGTCCGAGGTCTGGTGGCATAGCAGTAACACACTCCATTCACATAACTGGCAGGAAACTGAATAATGGATGGTCTGGAGTTCAATTCTCCACCAGGCCTTGTGTTTTTATTCAGCTGGATAGTGATGATATAAATGAAGTGCGAAAGGTGACAGGTTGAACAGCTTGGTGGCATAATGGTAACATGCTCTGTATTCCTATGTACAAGGTTGTAAACCCGGCCCCGGTTTATGGACCGATCGCAGCTTACATACGCCAGTCACATCTTGTCGTTTACCTTGTCTTCGTCGTACCGCGCGCCGCTTGCCTAGAATCATACCGTAGTCTTGTTGACTTGGTCTGATTCTTCCTTAGTGTTTCCTGTCTGGCCGACAGGCTTTCACTTTTTCTTCAACTCCCACTACGGACTTATCCTTGCTCCACATTCCATTCTGGCTCAAAACCCACCACGCCGAGTGCAGACTCAACTCTCTACTGCTGGCACCAGCCAATCTCTACATCCCCCACGGCCTTCTTCATCTCGCCGCCCTCGGACCCCATCTGCCGAGCCTGATAACGCTGCCATGTCACCATCGGATTCCAGCGATTCCCTGCTCTCCGACATGCCGCCAATCAACTGTGATCCGACCCCGCATCTGCCAAGCCCTTCTGAACCCGAGTCCCCACCACACCCGTCGCCTCCATCACGCCGTTCATCTTCACCAGAAATGTCGAAGCTCGAATTTCCAAAGCTCGCTGAGGAGCTCTCGCCAGCAGCTCTGCACAGCTGGTTGGGCCGCTGCGAGGATACATATGAAGCTTGGCAGGCACAAAACTCGGACAAGACCCTTTCGGCCCGCACTGTGATCACGCTTGCCGGATTGCGCATGGAAGAACAGACAGCAGCAACTTGGTGGAACGAGAATCAGGACGAGCTAAAGAGGTTGGGCACCTGGGATGAGTTCGCGCAGAAAGTAAAGGACCGGTTCGTCCCCTCCAATTGGCGCATGACCGCACTTGCCGCCTTCTATTCCATACACCAGGGCACGCTCTCCTTCCCCGACTTCGCGAAGGAGGTCCAATGCGCTTGGAATACTCTCGCTTCCGCCGGCGCGGGCTACACCATCAATGACTCTGTCCTCAAGAACCACATACTGTTCCATGCTCACCCTGTTCTCCGCCTCCGTGTCTGTGGCCAGCAAGCCTTCCCATATGCGTCGATGAAGGTTGATGGCCTTATTGCGAACATGTCATCAATATGGGACAGCCTCATTGCAGAAAAGGTCATCAGAGTCTCACCCACCGCTGCCCTATCCCCGCTCGTCATTCCTCCTCACATTCCCAGCTTGCCGTCTACATCATCGCTCCCTACTCTGACCAGCGCCTCATCTTCCTCCCATCCCCGTGCTCTGCTGTCATATGCCAAAAAGGAGGCCCTGAAAGCTGCGAATGGATGTTACCACTGTCGGAAGACACCACAGTCACCTGGTTGGGTCAAACACCGTAGCGAAAACTGCCCCAGTGACGTCGCATTGGGCATACTGCTGCGCTCCTCACCAGTGGTTGTCGCTGCTGTTGGCCCTGTCGGTTCTCGTCCATATACGAGGAAGGCTATACACCTGTCGCAGCTGTTCTCCCCGCATACGATGACGATGACAGCAGCTTCTCGTCGGCAACAGATGACGATGATTTATCAACTCACAACGACTAATCTGAATCCCTTTTGATCACGCTATATTACCCCCACACCTTTAATATCGCATTCTTCCTTCTGGCCACCTCCCCGACCTTCCCTGTGTGAACCCTGCAGTGACCCCATCAGCACACCTGTTTCTCCTCGAGTTTCTGTTTGTCCTGGAAGTGTCCTGTGTCTTCTCCGTGGATGTTCGGGCTTTTCTTGGTACCTTCCTTATTATTTTTGGCAGCTGTACTCAATTGTCTAGAGATGGGGAGGGTGTAAACCCGGCCCCGATTACGGACCGATTGCAGCTTATGTATGCCAGTCACATCTTGTCGTTTACCTTGCCTTCGTCGTACCGCGTGCCCGCCCGCCGCTTGCCTAGAATCATACCGTAGTCTTGTTGACTTGGTGTTAAATCCCGAAGTCGAGAATCGAAGGAATGATCCATTGACGGAAGGTTCTGGTGCCGGAGTGATGGCGGAGTGGAAGTTTCGGATCAATCGCAAACACCACAGAAAGGTAAGGGTGTGCGTACTACCTGGACTGGCGAGAGTAGAAGTCGTTCCGGTGAAAGCCGGAACTTCGGAGGACGGAAGATTAAGGCAGGGTTCAGGACAAGACGAATAGTCAAGAACATTAATAATCAAACTGAGGTTACATAGAGGCATACAGAATATTTATACTAAGTCATAATTACGTACGGCCGTAAAGTCCATTTCTATATATAGTGATCTGAAACGGAAGAAGCCACAAGTGAGGTTTGCGGAGCGGTGAAGTCCGCTCGAGTTGAGTGCGATAAAATAAGGAAGTTAAAATGGGAAATGCTCAGTAATCCTTCATTGCGTGAAAACCCATTTCGGGCGGCGTCCGTGGATCCGGACACCGGAACTTCCCGAAGGTACGGAACATCCCGGAAATAACGGAGCTCGTCTGGAGTTCAGAACGTACGGATATAACACTTGGTCTGATTCTTCCTTAGTGTTTCCTGTCTGGCCGACAGGCTTTCAAAGGTATGGTTCACAGAAGGTTTGGAGTTCGATTCTCCATCGAGCCATTGCTTGGGTCTGAGTAAGATTTTTAAAATTGGAGTTCTCAACGGTCTGATGGTGTAATGGTATCGCACTCCGTATTTGTTGGTTGGGTCCGGATAAGTGTAAGGCTGGTGCCACCACCTTACCACATATCACTGATGTGCTTATATATGATCCGAACCGTGAACACATAATCTGTGTTTATAGTGCTGTTTTGGCATAATGGTTAAAGTGGTCGGATCATGATAACAACCCTCTTACATAAACACAGATTGAGGTCGGCAGTTCGAACCCCGGGGTTGCATTGACTTTCATCACAGATGAACACTGGTGTGAAAAATCACTACCTTACGTATGATGAGCGTTAGAGTCACATGACAACCGGGGATCTCGGGCAGGTCCGGTTCAAGGCTCTGCAAACCAGTAACCCTTGGCAGTCCATATAAGGAAATTTCTCCAGAAGGGGAAAGAGTGTAAGGCTGGTGCCACCACCTTACCACATATCACTGATGTGCTTATATATGATCTGAACCGTGAACACATAATCTGTGTTTATAGTGCTGTTTTGGTGTAATGGTTAAAGTGGTCGGATCATGATAACAACCCTCTTACAATAAGCCATTTCACAGAGGGTTTGGAGTTCAATTCTTCGTCGGGCCTTAGTGTTTTTACCTGGCTGGCCAGTTTAATTAAAGTCTTGAAGATACCAACAGGATATTGAAGTTCTGAATAGCTCAGTGGCGTAACTGGTATTGCACTCCGTAGTCTTAGTTGGGTCTGGATATGTTTTGCAGGGGGTTTGGAGTTCGATTCTCCATTGGGCCTTCAGCTTTTTGCACATGTCAGAGTTGCGTTGGTTTGAGCCCCCATCGGGAGCTATCACAAGGTGATGGCTCACACCCGTATCCTTCTGGTTTTGGACCTCTGTAGGGCCTGTTGATCCTTCTTTGGCTCAGGATATAACACTGTCTGAACAGGGAGATTAAGCTGGCAAAAGCTCCCATCAAGCAGGGATGGTGCTGAACAAGTCTTGGTTGCCTCAGGCATTTTCTGCAAAACTATGAGAAGTTTGAAGCCAAAGGTAATGTACCAAGAGACTGTTGTTGGGATGAGTGTGAAGATCTGTTGCAAGCTAATCTTGTGCATGGTTGAGTTTAGGTAATGTAAGACCAGCCCAAGGGCACCAGCTACACATCTAGGGACCATGCCCCTGGGTATGGCTTTCTTGTGGTAGCAACATCATTATGGGGAATGGGGCCTGAGTACCACACATCACCAAAGTCCACAGTAATTATGGCAGAGAATGTCTTGACATTGAATCCCATTGTCATGATGAACATGTGATCATTAGCCTTGCATGAAGGACCTGCCACAAGGTATTGATCTTCAGGTTTAGTAGCAGCTGGGGTCAGCACAGATAGAGCTGGCTTGGCTTCCTGCATTCTGCATGCAATATCTGTGCCTCTTCTGCTCTGAGCAGAATAACAGCAGCAACAGTCAGCTCCCATTCCCCTCAACATCCTATTCCTCTATTTCTGCAGCCATGTGACATAAGAAGTACATGTCAAGGTCCACTGATGGTCAAGTTGGGATGGAGTAATCTGTTGAGTGTGTTTTTTATGGCCTGCATTTATTCCAAATGATGATAAATGATATGTAGGTGTCTACGAGAATCACCAGCAAATATATATTTACTCAGAATATCACTAATCAACATCACTGGCACTGCTCGGAAATTGAGCTGGAGTATTCAATGCTTATGGGAAGTCACCCACTGTCTCTTCCCTGGTACATTTAGGCTAGTACTTTGTTGTATTCCCATAGCAATCCACAGCTGAATACAATTCAGAGCCCGTTGCTGGCTGCATTAGTGATGTGACTGCATTCTTGCTACTCCACCTGTGCTTTGAATGCAAGCCAGTTGGACCGTTCCACCACAAAAAAACAAAAACAAAAACAAAAACAAAATAGGGCCTAACTGGGAATTGAACCCAGGACCTCCTCGAAACAGCTGAATGCCCTAACAAGGAATCATACTACTAGACCATCAGGCCATATGTGTTGTTCTCCAATTAGCATTGTTAACTGGGTGATGTTCTCTGGCCTTCAAACATTGAAATGGCTGAATTTCACTGAATCTCAAGTACAAGTGATTTAGTGTCAGTCACAAGGTATCCAGCTTGTGGAAAGCTGCTTTGTCTCTGAGATAGATGCACATCATGGTGCAGTGAACAGAATCTCAACATGTCTCAGAGCAAGACAGACTTGGTGGTTGTCAACTCGACAAGCTCTTAAGCTTGCAGATTTTTCAAATCTGATTTTGACTCATTCTAGTTGCCAACAAATTTCTGGCCAGTGAACTAAACGGGAACGGTCAGTATAATTTCTGGATGACATCGGACAGCTGGCTGCATTTTTTTCTTCTCCGTTTCAACCATCAGTGAGCTCGAGGTAGGGATTTGAGCAATGAGAGGCCAATAAAGGTACAGAGATTTGTAAATTGAGCCTCCGAAGCCGCGGCATTGCGTTAGGTCCTATGACGGAGGATAAGATCTATCCAGGCCTTCTTCGGACGTATTCTCGGCCGGGCGCGACGCGGGGACTCGTGGGGTTAGGGGCACAGACTCGGAGACCGGGATTATGTGCATGTGATTCCGAGTCAAGTTCCGCGTTCTCCTCACATTATATATGGTGCATCTCCTTCAGCCATAGGACCCTTCGACGCTGCCTATAACCATGTCGGCTGGCTTCCGAATCTCCCCCGCACTATGGGACCGGATACACCACTTTGCGTCTTTTCCCCAGACCGGCGGTAAGCAGCCACTCGACCCCACCGTGTCCCCCGCCATCTCACACGCCCCCGCGGCCAGTCTCGCTGCAACAAATGGTCCTCTTTGGGCAGAACCCGAGCCAGGGCACCCTCCTCAAAGCCAGCCAATTCCTCGCCGGTGAGCCCGCCCTCGTCCTGCGCGTGTGACTCGGTTCGACTACAATGTGCGCGCAGAGGAGCTGCCCGTGCGCCTCGCGCACCGCGTCAAGGAGCTCGACGAGCTGCCGCACAACCTCAGCGCGATGCCGTCCATCAACAAGGTCAAGAACTGGTACGCCCAGTCCTTCGAGGTCCGTCGCCGCCCGCTCGTGTGCCACGCCCGCGCCCGGCTCATACCCCCAGTAGGAGCTCATCAACTTCCCCGCAATTACGCTGCCGCCGAACATCCGGCAGGCGCTCATAACGCCACGGTCCGACGAGCTCGCGCTGCCCGAGTCGAAGCCGAATCCGTCCATGCAGGGCGCGGGCTACACGAACGGGAACGGCGCAAATGGGAACGGCTTCAACAAACTGAAGCTGCGCGTGCCCATGGAGCGCCGGTGCGTCCCTCTTCCGCACTATCTGCCATAGCTCTCACGAACGCGGCCTGCCGGCGCAGATACTACGCAAATACGCAGGGCGTCAATTGGCCGCCAGAGGTGGCGCACTTCAACACACGCTTCACCAAGACGCTCGAGATGATCAAGAGCCGTCACGACCCCACCGTCACGACCGTCGCGCAGGGTGTCCTCGAGTGGAAGAAGAGCCAGGGCACCACGAGAATCGGGCTCGACATCCAGGCCTGGCTCGACCGCTTCTACATGTCGCGCATCGGCATCCGCTTCCTCATCGGACAGCGTGCGTCTCGCCTCTTCCCCACACCTTCGTCCCTAGCTAATCCCGCCCAGACATCGCGCTAAACACACAACAAGCGCACCCCGACTATGTCGGCATCATCTGCACCAACGCCAACGTGCACGACATCGTCCAAGAGGCGATCGAAAACGCGCGATTCGTCTGCGAGGAGCACTACGCCATGTTCAAGGGGCCCCCCGTGCAGCTCATCTGCCCCCCGCAGCTCACCTTCCCCTACGTCCCGGGCCACCTCTCGCACATCGTCTTCGAGCTGCTCAAAAACTCGCTGCGCGCGGTCGTCGAGCGGCACGGCGTCGCGAACGAAGACACCTTCCCGCCGATCAAGGTCGTCGTCGTCGAGGGCACCGAGGACATCACGATCAAGATCTCCGACGAGGGCGGCGGCATCCCGCGCAGCGCCATCCCGCTCATCTGGACGTACATGTACACCACGATGGAGGGCACGCATATTGACCAGGATTTCCACGCGAGCGACTTCAAGGCGCCCATGGCGGGCTTTGGCTACGGCCTCCCCCTCTCGCGCCTGTACGCGCGCTACTTTGGCGGCGACCTGCGCTTGATCGCGATGGAGGGCTACGGGACGGACGTGTATATACATTTAAATAGGCTCTCTAGCAGTAGAGAGCCGTTGCTGTAGGATGTTAATATATCTAATGGAGGAATACCGCACGCCTCGAGAGAAGAAAATCGCATCTATTCGCATCGAAAGTACAGGCAAAAATAGTCGAATTTACATGGTGAGATACAAGTACACAAAGCAAGCAAGCGCAGAGCATCGAGATCGAAAAGAAACAGAAGGAGAATCCACCAAGTCCGTGTTTGCTATGAGTCGCATCCATCCTTTTTGGGGGTCGTCGCGCACATCCCTCCTCGCGCCGCCTACACATCCTCCCGTCGGTCCCACGAGCGCTTCATCGGCAGCTGGTACGCCGCAGCGGGCGGATACCCCCACGACTGCTCCTCGTACTCGTACGCATAGCGCATCCCCGCTTGCTGCTGCTGCGCCTCGTACCGCTCCCGTTCCCTCTCCCGCTCGCGCTCGCGCTCCTTTACCCGCTCCCTCTCCACGCGCTCCGCCTCCCGCTCGCGCTCCCCCTTTTCCAGCTCCCCAATCTCCTCCTCGAGCCGCTTGTTCGCGAAGCGCAGCTGCTGTAGCTCGTACTGCCAGCTGCCCCCCGTCGCCGGGTCCAGCCGCTTGAACACGTCCTCGTGCCCCTGCTCTTGCCCGTGCCCGTGCCCGTGTCCATATTCTCCTCCCGCCGCGCGCACCTCGTACATCAGCCGCGCAGACGCCACCGCGAGCGGCAACGTCCCGCGCTCCTCGGCCGCGGGCGCCTCGATCCGCACCACGGCCCGCACCCCGCCCATCGCGCCCCTCAGCACACACCCCACCTCCCGCACCTCGCCCGGCCTCAGCCCCGCGCTCACCCCGCCCATCCCGAGCGCTGCCTGCAGCGCATTCGGCCGTTGCGCGGCGCTCAGCCGCGCGTCGGGGGCGAGAAGCGCCTGGAGGCGCGTCCCGCGCAGCGCGAGGGGGTCGTGCCCGAGCAGCGCGCGCGCGCCGGCGCCGACGGAGAGGAGCAGCCCGTGCGCGTCGAGGAAGCCGTGGAACGCCGGCGGGGCGGGCAGGAGCACGCCTTGGGCACCTTGCACACCTTGAACGGGCGACGTGCCCTCCTGCGCCTGCGCGGGGCCATACACCCCCTGCTGTTCCTACTCACAAATCAGCTTCCCTTCTTCTCATTTTCAAATGAAACCCACCTCAACACGCGCACGCTTCGCCACGGGCCTCAGCGCCCACTCGAGCCCGCTCGCCGAGCCCGTTGGCGAGCGCGGGCTCAGGCTCTGGCTCTGCTGGCTGAGGGCGAGACTATTCCTCCGGCTGTGTTGCTGCTGATACGCGCCCCACTCGGGGCTCCCACCCTGACTCCCACCCTGCTGATACGCATACACCTGCGGACTCCCGCCCCCGTCCCCAAACCGCGCCATCGCCCTTGCCCGCCCCACAAGCACGATCGCCTTGCGCCCCTTGCCGGGCTCGACGTGCAGCCGCCCGCGCGCCTCGACCCACACCCACGCGCCCGCCTTGGTGCGCGCGCGGAAGACGAGGTCGACCGTGCGCAGCAGCTCGGGCGCGCTGGGCGTGCTGCCGCTGTTGGAGCCGGAGGTGCTCGAGGCGCTTGAGGTGGAGGCGCCTGGGAGGGGAATTAGCGGGTGTGCACAGCGGAGATGGAGCGCAGATGAAGCGGGGTGGACGAGAAGGGGAGAACGAAACGCAGGAATGCGTGGAAGGAAGGACAGAACGAGAAGGGAACGAAGGACGATGAAGCAAGAAGTAGGCAGGCAGAGATGAGGGACGGGGGACCAAAAGGAAGGGCGAAACGATGAAGAAAAGCGAGAAGCGAGAAGCAAAAGGAGGGAGGGGAGGGGAGCTGAGGCCAAGGCCGAGAAGACGAAGACGAAGATGACGAACGCGATCTCGAATAGGGATGAGAAATGGAGTGGGGGAAGTGGGACGATACGGAGCAGGTGAGAAGGAAGAGCGGCGCGCGGAAAGCAGCGCGGAGACGCGAAGGGGAAAGACGGGGGAAGCAGAAGGCGCATCCCATGAAGGGAAGAGCGACGCGCCGGGGAAGTCGAAGTACGAGCAGGAAGAAGAGTGAGATAGAGGGGACGAACGAGGATGGGAGGACGAAAAGTAGGCGGGGCGGGGCGACAATCTGGGGAGGGGACGAGGAGAGAGAGACGGACGAGGAGCGAGAACAAAAGACGAGGACAAGAGGTCAACCCAACGCTACGGAACGACGGGGAGGGGACGGGGACGAGGGACGAGGAGGACGACGAAAAGTAGAAGGAAGGGAGAGACGATGACCTAACTAGCCAATCCGAATATCCCAAAAACCAAAAAACCAAAAAAAAAAAAAAGTAAACGCCTCAGAGAAAAGAAGAAAAATGAAGGGACGAGAAGAAGGCTGAGGGAGGTGGGAGAACGAGGACGACGACGAAGGGGGCGGCTGGGGAACGACGAGAGGATGGGGAGGACAGAGGGATCGAAGGGGACGAAGGAGCCAAAAAAAAAGAAAATTCGCTCAAAAAACTCACCCTTCTCCTCCCTCTCCCCTTCTCCTTCTCTCCGCCCTCCACAGACACCCGCACCCCCTCCACCGGCAAGCTCGCCTCCTTCAGCGCCCTTCCCACGCTCACGACGTCTTTCGTGAAGCACAGGTCCGCGAGCGCGCGGCCGACGAGCTCGGACGGCGCCCAGCCGAGGACGCGCGTCACCGCGGGGGCGACGTAGAGGAATGCGCCCTGCGAGGCGAGTTAGTTCATATAAGAAGAGGGGAGGGAGGAGGGAGAGGTACCTTGAGA